AGCCGTCTTGGGCCGCTAACGCTTATGGAGAGTTTGCTTTCTGGCTTCTCCGTATTCCCTTAAGTTGGGACTTTGAGGAAGCTGTCACTGTTTGTCAACCTGTAGAAAAGCTTAATTGTGTTTTCCACCATTTTACCTCAGTTCCTCAGGGTTCTAAATCTCATCATGGTAGCGCAAACCCGACGCCCCAAATTACTGATTTGAACAGGATGTGCCGACGGGCACAATTTGGGGCGTCGGGTTTGCGCTACCATGGTGAGATCTTGTAGAGTGGTGTTGGCTCCACAGAAAATTTCAATGTCTTCAGAAGACAAAGAAGCGCAGGAGGACGAGCTGCTGGCTTTGGCTAGCATTTACGACGAAGATGAGTTCAAGAGAGCTGAGTCAGCCCAAGGAGGAGAAACGAGAATCTGCCTGGAGTTGCCCCAAGACTTCAAAATTTTTGTGAGGGGTGAGTTGAGATGTCTTGGCTTCTCCCAAAATCGGGTTTTTTCCGAGCGGCTTCACCCAGCTGAGGCGGTTGAGGCTGCGGCGAGGCCGAGCGGGTGGAGGGGTGGGTGACCCTGTGCTGCACGTGTGGCGGTGTTGGGGGCTGTATCCAGGAGGGTCGTGTCATCCTTGTACAGGAAACCTCTTCAGTCAACTTTCAAATTGGAGATGAGCAATAGTATTTCTATGGACTAATTAAGTTGATTTGGGGTTGGGTTTTTTAGTTCCTTGAGGATATGTTTTCCCAGGTTCTCGGGTTGTGCAGGACCCGGTATTGAGCAGTGCTGCTGTTCACTGCTGCCACCATATCCACACGACCCTCTAAATGTTACTGCACTGAGAAGTTTTGTTATTTAGGGTTGAATTTAAACCCATAAATTTATGGAACAGTAAGAGATACCTATGAAGACAGGCTGAGAGAACTGGGCTTGTTCAGCCTGGAGAAGGGAAGGCTCCAGGGAGACCTCAGAGCCCCTTCCAGTGCCTGGGGGTGGCTTCAAGAAAGCTGAGAGAACTTTTTCCAAGGGGATGGAGTGACAGGACAAGGGGGAACGGGTTTAAATTGAAAGTGGGGGGGGTTAGATTAGATATCAGGAAGAAGTTCTTCACCGAGAGGGTGGGGAGCACTGGGACAGGTTGCCCAGAGAAGCTGTGGATGCCCCATCCCTGGAAGTGTCCAAGGCCAGGCTGGATGAGGCTTGGAGCAACCTGGCCTAGTGGAAGGTGTCCCTGCCCATGGCAGGGGGGGGGACTGGGGGGGCTTTAAGGTCCCTTCAACCCAAACCATTCTGGGATTCTATAAACCATTACAGTTCATTAGTTTTCATTTTCCTGTTATTTTTCCAACTGTCTCTGTTCTGTTTTATTCAGGCAGTTCCACAGAAAGCCTCCAAAACAGCGGGTTTGAATACACTGTTTGCTTCCTGCCTCCCCTTGTGCTGAACTTTGAACTCCCACCAGACTACCCATCAGCCTCCCCACCGGTGTTTACCCTCAGTGGAAAATGGCTCTCCCGAGCCCAGGTTTGCAAAATAGTTTTAAGGAGCTTTTGTGATGATGAGTGAGTTCTTAAGAAACGGTGCTTGGGGGTGTTAATGTAGTAGATGAAAGTAAAATTAAGACATAAATTACTACGTTGCTCTTTCAGCTGGGTGCTCTTTTGCTTCCTACTTGGGTTTATTTGGTCACCATTCTGAGGAATGAGAGCTTGCAGCTATGAGCCTTGTTATCGGTTGGGGCGAGTCCAGAGGAGGCCACGGAGATGCCTCCAGGGCTGGAGCCCCTCTGCCATAGGGACAAGCTGGGAGAGTTGGGGGGTTCAGCCTGGAGAAGGGAAGGCTCTGGGGAGACCTCAGAGCCCCTTCCAGTGCCTGGGGGAGCAAAAGGAAGCTGGGGGGGACTTTTTACAAGGGCAGGGAGTGACAGGACAAGGAGGAACGTGTTTGAACAGAAAGAGGGAGATTGAGATGGGACATCAGGAAGGAATTCTTCCCAGAGAGGGTGGGGAGCACTGGGACAGGTTGCCCAGAGAAGCTGTGGATACCCCATCCCTGGGAGTGTCCAAGACCAGGCTGGATGAGGCTTGGAGCAACCTGGTCTAGTGGAAGGTGTCCCTGCCCATGGCAGGGGGTGGGACGGGAGGGGCTTTAAGGTCCCTTCAACCCAAACCGTTCTGGGATTCTGTTTTAAGTGTATACGTATAAACCTCCAGAATCTGAAGCCTAATCTTGCACCAGGTTGGCCGGGGGAGAGGAAAGCCGCCCCGAGTTGTCAGAACCTACTGAGATCTGGCGTTGTCTTTTCCTTCCCAGCTCAGCGCTCTTTGCAAACACTTGGACAACGTATGGGAAGAGAATCGAGGCTGTGTGGTCTTATTTGCCTGGATGCAGTTTCTGAAGGAAGAAACACTGAATTACCTCAATATTTCCTCCCCCTACGAGCTAAAAACATGTCGTCGAGGGAATGGGCAGAGTCCGACACATCCGGGGCCTCTCGGTGCCGAGACGGACTGTGGTGGTGCAGCAGGCTCTGCCGCAGCCGAAGAAGAAATCATCGATGCAAGAGCTCTGCAGGATGTGGAATCGTTGTCGAGTCTGATCAGGGAAATCTTGGACTTTGATCAGGCTCAGAGGAGGAAGTGCTTTAACAGTAAGATGTACCTGTGCAATATCTGCTTCTGTGAGAAGCTGGGCAGTGAGTGTATGTACTTCACCGAGTGCAGCCACGTGTACTGCAAAGCGTGCCTGAAGGACTACTTTGAAATACAGATCAAGGACGGGCAGGTCCACTGCCTCAACTGTCCCGAGCCGAAGTGTTCTTCCGTTGCTACACCTGGCCAGGTAATAGCAGTGTGCACGCAGCGAGGGTAGAGTTCTGCCGCCGCCGTTACAGACGACGAGGTGTGGCCTTTCGTGGTGAGCGGCGTGCCCGTCCCCGGATCCGTACGCTGAGCCGCAGAGGCGTCAGCGTAAAGCTGGGTCGCAGGGCACGTGCCTTGCCTGCTTTACTAGGCCTGGCAGCGGTCAGGGGCCTGGATTCACGTCTCATTTGGTTGATAATAGTTAAACTAGCATTTCTAGGAGTATTTTCCTGACATGTTGGGGAACATACAGTGGATTCATCCCAGCTGTAGGTCCTTCTTACTGACTTGCTGTGTTTCACTGAAGGTAGCGGGCTCGGAAGTTCAGATCCTGTGTTCTCCCTCTGATCTCCCTTAGGTGAAGGAGCTGGTGGGGGAGCAGCTCTTCGCGCGTTACGACCGCCTGCTCCTGCAGTCCAGCTTGGACCTGATGGCGGATGTGGTGTACTGCCCTCGCCCGGGCTGTCAGACGCCGGTCATGCAGGAGCCAGGCTGCACCATGGGCATATGTTCCTGCTGCAACTACGCCTTCTGTACCCTCTGCAAAATGACTTACCACGGCGTCTCTCCCTGTAAAGTCACGGCAGGGGAGTCGTCGTCTTTCCGAAACGGATCACAAAGCAATTACATCTGGTGGGAAAAAGGCTGGAAGTCAGAAATTAAGCAGGGAGACTCAGCGCCACGTGAGCTTTCTGAGGGATCAGACAGATTCGTCTGGAGTAGGTCTGTGCTGGCAGTTAAACTGTTCCTTAGATGATGCTGCCCAGCTCAGGAGGTCCCTAAACTGCTGATTGTCAAGTTCTGAGAGGCCACAGGAGGTGAAGAATAATTGTATATGTGCTTTTTTTACCCTTTTCCTGTGGAACTGCTGCTTTCTGCTGTCAGAGTTGATACTGGAATCAGGTGGATGCCTCTACCTGCTCAGCCTCAAAATCCTGTGACAAGGCTTCATTAACTGTGTGATCAGAGAAAATACTTCTGTTTTTCAGCTTATTTTACACTGCAGATTTGTTCTTATTCCAGTGACTGGTGTCGTGCGTAATGAAACGGTGTCAAGGCGTTGAATTTTGAGGTAGAGGGCTTTAATATTCTCATCTTTTCCTTATGTATTCTGATGTTTTACTGGCTTTTTCATTTATGCTGCTAGTGACCTTTGAGAGCAATGCATGCTGTTACCAGCTGGGCTTCGCAGAATCGTAGGACAGAATCACAGAATCCTTGTACAACACACTACACAAGCTGTTTTGGTTTTATTTGTGTTGGTTTGGTTTATTCCCTAGAGAAACTGATGGATTTGCGAAATGAGTATTTAGAAGCAGATGAGGCAACTAAAAGATTCTTGGAGCAGCGCTATGGCAAACGAGTGATTCAGAAAGCCCTGGAGGAGATGGAGAGTAAAGAATGGCTGGAAAAGAACTCCAAGTCTTGCCCGTGCTGTGGTACTCCCATAGAGGTGAGCAGGCCGGGGATAGGCGGAAGAGTTGTGGTAACTCTTAACAGAAACGAACGTAAATCGAGTCACTTCTGTATCTGAGAGGTATTTGTAGCCGCCAAGTTCGCCAGGGAAGGTAAACGTCTAGGAAACGGGAAGAGACCTTGGCGATTCTGTGTTACACAGGGAAGGAGGTGATGTTTCTGGAGCTCAGGGACTTGAGCAAATACAGCAGCTGGTATTGTTCAGGCTAAAAGGTTGGAGCGAGTCCAGGGGAGGCCACGAAGATGCTCAGAGGGCTGGAGCACCTCTGCCATGGGGACAGGCTGAGAGAGATGGGATCAGCCTGGAGAAGAGGAGGCTCCGGGGAGATGTTATTGCAGCCTTCCAGTGCCTGCAGGGGCTGCAAGGAAGCTGGGGGGGACTTTTTGCAAGGGCCTGTAGTGACAGGACAAGGGGGAACGGGGTTAAACTGGAAGTGGGGAGGTTTAGATGAGGTATCAGGAAGAAGTTCTTCCCGGAGAGGGTGGTGAGGCACTGGAACAGGTTGCCCAGAGAAGCTGTGGATGCCCCATCCCTGGATGTCTTCAAGGCCAGGCTGGATGAGGCTTGGAGCAACCTGGTCTAGTGGAAGGTGTCCCTGCCCATGGCAGGGGGGTTGGAACTGGATGATCTTTAAGGTCCCTTCCAACCCAAACCATTCTATGATTCTGAGATTCTATGAAAAGGAGACGGGTTGAATACAGATCCGTATGAATCCCTTTGTTTTCCATGTGTTTTGGGCTGCTGCTGTTTCAAACTAGAGCAAATAAATAAAACTACCTTCAGAAAAAGAGTGATTTCCATTACTGTTAGCATGACAAGCAGGGTACGGTTCTGTGATTCCAGCTCCCAGTTCTCCATCAGCATCAGTGTCAGGACAGTCGGGGTAAAAGGTGTTCACCGGCCGATGGTTTTGAAGGACTGTTACCAGAGACAGCCCTGAATACCAACGCCATAAGATCTTGTCGTGACTGTTTCTCATTTCCTTCCCCTGCCAGAAACTGGACGGCTGCAACAAAATGACGTGTACGGGCTGCATGCAGTACTTCTGCTGGCTCTGCATGGGCTCGCTGTCACGGGTGAATCCCTACCAGCACTTCAACGACCCGTCTTCCCCGTGCTTTAACAGGTGCGCACCTACGCCGGCCTCGCTCCTGCCCCGCGCTTCCTTCTCGGGTTTCTCTGGCAGCCTCCCCCAGGTTGTCTTTACCTGGAATTCTGTAGCTACAGAAGCCAGGATTTCTTCTCTCGGGTACTTACGAGGAGCTGACACTAGCCATAAAAAAAATGAGGAGCGCTTTGGGATATGGCTTTGCTTTTGGGTTGGAATTCTGGAGGAGTCTTCTGTGCCTACTCCTGATGCTTCGTTTGCTGCCCCTGTCCGAGAGGCAGCCTGCAGGGAAGTTTCCTTGCAGATGCTCAGGAATATGATAGCGTGGCACGAAGTTTTGGGTTAAAAAGCTGCTGCTTAAAAGCTGCGAACTTGGCTTGCATCGTGGCTCTTGGGGATGTAGCGGGAGCCAGCGGATGCCGCTGCCACCTGGAGGAGCGCAAGGGGGGGCAGGTTGGAGCAGTGGGGTAACGGCAGCCGCTCAGCTGGTGGGTGTTCAGGGGGTTCTGTGCCCAGCGCTGTCAGCTGTAGCGCCAGGATGCCAAAGTCACAATACCCCTAGTCACAATACCCTCCACTGCCCGTCCTGCTGCGGCTGCGGCTGCCAGGACGTACTTCTTGTTCTTAGCCCTTCCTTCCTGGCATTCCCTCTTCTCCCAGCAGGAACCTTTCCACTCATGCCCTGGTTTCCTTTCTGCTTTTTCTTCTGATGTTTTTTCCTTTCGGTTTAGCTGAAGCTCTCCCTACCCTGACTAAACTCATCTGTTCATAAAAAGCCCACCCACACTTCCCTCCCTCCTCTGCTCACACACCCCAGTGTTTTGCCCAGCTCTGTGCCGTCCACCCAAAGCGTAACCTGCTCGGAGCAGGCCACAGTTCTGTGGTTTTGGTCACATTCAAATGGGGGGTTTTAATACTTGTTCTACTTTTTACACGTCCTGATGTAAGTGACTGGCTGTCTTGCAGGTTGTTTCAGGCCATGCATATGGACGGCGAGTTCTGGGAGGCTGGAGATGAAGACTAGTCGCGTTCTCTAGCAACAACAGCCGAACACACCGGAACCGGAGAGAGATGCTTCCCATTTTTGTGTCAAGTTTGTTTGCTCTTCACTTCTGTTCCGTGATAGAAGGGCGAGAACTACCTGGTACTGCAGGATACCCACCTCAGAGGCTGTTCCCAAAACCAAAGGAGATAGATTGTTTTACCCATACCGTGGTCAGGATCGCCGTGGAAGGCCCTGGTAATTGCACTGAGTGTGAAAGACAAACACAACCAGCCAGCAGTTGGAAAATTACTGGAAGAATATATACTAAGAGGTGCCCCTTTTTCAACAGCAAACAAACAAAACTGAAGCCCCAGATCTTATAAATATTTGGGGGTTTCCTGTAGGGAGACTGACCTTTCAAGGGTGTTGGCCCATACCCACTGTGGGGTTTAGGGTGGGTTTGTGATCGCTGTAGCGCTCTCCTGGAGCTGCTCAGCGATGCTGCTCGGGCAGGGAGCGTTCCTGGTGCCACACAGAGAGTGTATATG